TTGGTAGACAGCCTAAAGGATAGACATTGAATTCTAGGGGAACGGATGAAATGGAAAATACCCTGTAAGATTGAACGTCTTTCTAGGGAGGCTGGTGAGAGAATGCATGGGCGTCCCCACTGAGTTGCGGGTGGATATGGCTGAGTATTCTGCAAGAAGATTATTTAATATGACAATTTCGTTGTGTTCCTGCTTCACTCATGTGGACATAGCTGGAAGTCAGAAAGGAAACAGAAACGTTTTGAGTCGTCTAAAACGATGTTTCAGGGGCGCCTGGCTGGCTCAGTCGGTAGAGCAAGTGACTCTTGATCTCTGGGTCATGAGTTCAAGCCCCACACTGGGTGAGGAGATGACTTAAAAAAAGAGTGACGTAAAGGATACGCTACAAGAAATAGATGTTTCAGGGTTGACATATCTTGGCTTTAGTACAGATGGTGGGCTCCCGGCTCTCGGGTCTTCCCGTTCTTCTTGTGCATGTAATTAATTCTAAGATGTGCAGTCGTCTGATTTCTGGCCAGATCAAAAACAGTAAATGAGAAGCCAGGAGATGGGGGCAGGTAAACAGACAAGCGTAAGAGGCGACAGCTGGCCGGCTATGCGAGCCGTGCTTCTTGCAAAAAATGCACAGATACACGTTGCCACCTCCAGCCTCCCAGTCTCCACGCTGTCCACCAACTACGGGGTTCGTTCCTGGCAGAGCAAGGGGCTTCCAGAGCCTATTATAGCCCCAAGTGTCACTCCTGTCCAGGTTGGCCGTGCCCTGGCCTCGTGGACGTTAACAACTAGAATGTCACTCAGGAACATCGGTGTACGTTGCTTTCATAATTACGCTCGCTAACTTTCCCCCTCAATATCTAGGAAGGCCAGAAATATAACAGTTAGGGGCTGTGTCATGTAGGGAGAAGAGTCTCATACAGTTAGAGGCCCAGTGGGCTTTAATATATTACAACGCAGGACAATTGATTTTCATATTAGTGAGCCTCAGTCATTAGGAAAAACTTAATTACATTTGGCTTGATCTGAGACTGCAGGCATGAGTGCGATACGTTTCGGAAGTTTTAATCCAAATGGACTAAACGTGCTGGTACTTAGGCCGAATTGAGCCTTTAACTATCCAGAAAGTTCACTTGTCCAGAATGATTCGTTCTGCGCGATTCCGGAGCTGGAACTCCTGAATCAAATAAAACGATGGCCCGTCTGTGCTACCACAGGCAGAGCATGCATATTCTCATGTGGCCTGATCCATTCTTCCATGCTACCCTTAGGCAGAACTGAGCATTGGCTCACCTGGGCTGACCACCTCTTCCTCCTCACCTGGGCTGACC